GAAAAACAAAAAACGAAATTGAAAAAATTGAAAAAAGAAAACCCTGACTCTGAGGATTTTGGCGACTGCAGATTCAGGATCGACGAAATAACAATAATAGGAAAAGCAATGAACTTGACTTACAATTTAACATTAAAAATTAAAATAATAAAGTACCAAAAATGCTCAGGCCAATCCAATTTTCTTTCAAATTAAAACAAAATAAGAAAAAGACAAACAAGAGTTTCCATGTTTCATCTGGAATTCTATTTCCTAACACAGGAAGGAAACTAAAAAGAAACCCTAAACCGACACTCCCTATAAATACAATTCAGATTACGCACAGACAACGTCACTTGATTTCTCTTTCTCTTCTCTATTTCTCTTCTTAATTAGCAGCACCAAGCAAGCAAGCAAGCAATTCTCTTCTTAATTAGCAGTAGCAAGCAAGCAATGGCACATCATCAGAATGTGCCGTTAGGTTTCCGTTTCCGCCCCACTGATCAAGAGATTGTGGGTTCCTTTCTCCACACCTTGTTGGTCGAGAGAAAGCCTTTGATGCCGCCGTACAGCAACTTCATCCGTGCCTGCGATCTCTTTGGCAACAAGTTAGAACCTTCGGAGATTTGGAATAAGTACGGAGGGCCTCAACTTGTTGATCAAGACTTATATTTCCTCTCCGGGCTCAAGAAGTTAACCCCGAAGCGCATGGATCGCAGCGTTGGCCAAGGCGGTACCTGGAGTGAAACTGAATCCTTCAAACTCGTTGAGGACGACAATGAAAACCCGAACCCCATTGGCCGAAAACGAAAATTCCGCTATGAGAATAAAGGGTCCGAGGAGCACACACGGTGGTTATTGGATGAATATGGTCTTTTTGTTGGTCCCAAGAATGACTACAATGATCGTAGTTACGATTTCGATTTCGTGATTTGCCGGATGAGGAAAAACGATAGGGCCTTGAGTAAGGAAATAAATTTAAAGCGTTCATCACAAGATCAAGTACAAAAGAAGAGGAGCACAAACAAAAAGATGAAAAAAGATCATCAAATGGGATCACCGGCAGAATCATCATCGCATGTAGAACAAGGCTGCTCTTCTAGTCTAACTGGTGGTGAACTTGTGGTCTCTTATGATGATGTTGATCCGACTGATCCGACATTCTTCGAGGACAATCCTATCTTCAAC